AAGACACGAAGAGAGGAGCAGAAGAGAATAAAAGACAAGAGAGAGAGGAAAGGAGAGAGAGAGAGAGAGAGAGAGATTGGGTGGAGAGAGATGTTCTGCTGAATGTAAAGGTTGTGGGAGAATTTATATTGAAAATAAATTGTTAGATGTATTCGATATATCACGTGGTATGCTGATATTGCGGATGTACAGGATAATTTCTCTATATATTCGTTTTGATTGTATGGGTTCGTTGTAATCGGTTGCATACAATTATGTTTTTACACGTAAATAAACCAATAGTAGTTATATGCAACCGATTTTTTCATATGCAACTGATCATATTATATCACGGTCAATTAGAGTAATTGTATACAACGAGTGATGAAAAAAATGGAGAAAATTAAGTCGCACGCACTAAATGATAAATAAAAAATTAAGGGAGTATAAGTTAAGGAACTATTTCGATAAAAAAAAATTCTTATATTGTATTATTTGTTTAAAGTCAATGAAAAAAAACAATGTGTTCATAAGATTAGGATTACTTATACATACGACCTTATTCAATCATGTGCAATGTTCTAAAACGAAAAGTATATTATTTTTGTAGTACAAATATATGCGTACGTAGTGTTGTGTCAAACTAAGAAGTTGGATTGTAAAAATAGTGAAGACTTATGTTTGGTGTTGTATCAAACTTAAAAATAATTATTATAATATTTAAATTTAATTAGGATTTTAGACCTAAAAGATAAATAAATGCTACAAAGAAACCCAATTTAAAGATTTATAACAACATTTGGCAACAAAAAAAAAAGATTTAAAACAATAATAAAAAGAAAACAAATAAAATTCTGTTTATTTTTTTATGAAGAATAAAATTATGATATTTGTTTTTTGGCTTGTCAAGATTAATCTTAGTTGGTCGAAACATTGTTAAAGGAGCTAAACTCACTCTATATAATTTTAGGGTTTTCAAGGACCAAGTAAAACAATAATTAAAATATATATATGTATAATTTTTGTATATTTGACTTTTGACTTCAAACGGAAAAATATAATTTGACAAAGTAAAAATTGCTTGCAATAAAGAAAGCATCACAACATGAATTATTAAACTTGTTTCAATATCAAAAGAATATCAAACATTTGTAAATTACTATATTTGATTTTCCAAATGTAATATCAAAATAATTATTGTAATATTTAAATTTAATTAAGGATTTTTATCTAAAATAAATAAATTATGCAAAAAAAAAAAAATCAATTCAAAGATATAAAACAATAATTAAAAGAAAACAAATAAAATCATGATATTTTTTTAAGAGAGGCATTAGACTCACTTGTTCTATTTAGCGAACGTGCTATTTAACGAACCACTTTTCATGCTCACTTATTAGACGAGTGAGTGAGGCCTTTTTTTCACTATTGGACTATACAATCTCATTTAAGTTAATCTCGTTTCTTACCAAACAAGGGTTTCAAGTGCTATTTAACCCAGTGTAGTCCAATGAGGCGTACCAAACATGGCATTGGTGTTTAAAACCAAACTAGTAAAAAACGCAAAAGGAAAATGTCATTTTTGTGCCTTCTAATCATTTAGGGTTAATCGTTTCATTAGTCTTTGACCTTTGGCCGGATTTGCATTTGAGTACCTCAATTTCCAAAATGGTTTTCGTGGTCCTTTAACTTTAGTTTCGTTTGGACAAATGGTCATACCATCAATTTTGTTAACTTTTTATGTTAAATGCAGGGGCAAAATGGTATTTTTATATTAAAACAAAAAAGATGAATAAAAAATTATATCTTTAAAATAAGAATAAAAGAAAATCAAATAAAAACCACCCCAAAAAAAAAAATCAAGTTTGTGGGGAGTAGAAATCGGGATAGAGGGGGAGGAGAGAGAGTTTAATTTTAATTTTTTATTCATATTTAATCAATATTGATACAAAAATACCATTTTATCCATGCATTTAACAGAAAAGTTAACAAAATTGACGGCTGGATTATTTGTCCTAACAAAACTAAAGTTAAAAGACCACGAGAACTATTTTAAAAATTGTGGTACTTAAATACAAATCGAGTCTAAATCCAAAGACTAATAAAACGATTAATCCAATTATTTATGCAAGAAGCCTTCCTTTAACTATAAGATAAATCGGGTGGGGTACGTGGTGGACACAAAAGCAAAGGCGGTGATGGGACTAGTGGACTACTCCGGACAGATTTTATTTTTAACCCATAACTCCTGCTTAATTAACTGAAACAAGTATTAATAAATTATTTTAAAATTATTTTACTAGCGTGAGCCGCCCACACGTTTATAGTCGGCCGAAATTTAACTATTGATACTATCCACACTTCTCAAATTCTATGTCGCTCATGCGTAGTGTTAATTTGACTGTCATGTGACTATTATGCGAATGGAAAGATCACTGGTTTTTGAAATACCATAAAGATCGAAATATTTACATGGCAATCATTTCCCTTTACCGTTCCCTTTCTAATCTAATTGTCCTCTTTGGTTTGTCAATAATCACTATCTTTATTTTTATTTTATTTTTAAAATTCAAGGTACAATGAGGCGCTAAGATTACTCAAGTAACAATGTCAAAAAATTGACAGACGAGGATTAGGCGAATTGGTAAGGTATTCTACCTGCATCTAGCAGGTGAGTTCAATTCCCCTCTTCGTACATTAGAATAATTTAAAATTTTGCTTTATAATTAAAAAAAAAAAGGTCAAATATTAAAAGAAAGAAAAAAGTGACCAACGTGAAAATAAAGGAAAATATTAAACTAAATTAAATGGTACAAGCATTTTTCCCCATCACAGATCCACCCTATCAATTAGTGACCAACTAGAGCCATCTCTTTTCTCTCATCGATCCAAGATGCAGAGGATGAGAAGGAGGAGATATAATTTAAATAAATGGGGAAATCATAAATATCATGGAAAATATAATAAATATTTCCACCTAAAAGTGTTGAAATCTCCATCTCCCACTTGGACTCATCAATAAGAAAAAAAATTTATATATAAAAAAAAACTAAATTTAGAGAGCAATGAGAGCTCCAAGAACCAAAAGCGAAACAGAGAACAAACCCATGTTTCCTCCACTCCCAATCCTCAAGGCTCCGCTACCACCACCACCAGTGCTGTTGGTAGTGGTATTAGTACCAGCGGGAGTGCCCGTAGTGGAATTGGCCCCCAAGGACAAGGTGCCAAACGACTTGAGATTGGCTGGGGCGACGTCATGCTTCTCGGGGAAACCGGAGGTCTTGTTGACGGCGGAGCCCACCTGCCAGACCTGGTTCACGGATGCCGCGTCCTTCGGGACCTTGACGGTGGCGAAGATCGTGAAGCTGCCGTTGGAAAACTCCGCGCTGACGTCCCAGACTTCGAACGAGAGTTTTCCCGGCACGATGGAGTTGTACGAGGAGATGTTCAATGTGTTGACGGCTGGTGCCCCTTTCTCGTTCTTGTAGGCTAGGAGGGTCTGGGCCCCAGCCATCTTGGTCTGGGTGGGGTTGATGGCCCAAGCGACCCATCCGTCAGATTTGGCCGGCGTCGCCACGAAGGCGACGGAGAGAGAGGAGTTGGAGGCACTGTACGTCCAGTGGAGGTAGGAACTGAGGTAGGGGAGGTCGTTGCACTGGGCGTAGAGCTTGTTGTTCTTGAATGTCTGTGAGGTGCAAGTGGCTGCTTGCGCGGGTGAGATTAGCAGAGCCAGGAGGGAGATCCATGAGACTGAGACAAGAAGAACAGGATGAAGAGAGGAAGCCATTATTGGAGAATATGGACAGAGAGACTGGTTGTCAAAAGAAAAAGGGCGAGAGATGTTCTTCTGAATGTAAAGGTTGTGGGGCAATATATATTGAAAAAAAATTTGTTAGATGCATTCGATACATCACGTGTCATGCTGATACTGCGGATGTACAAGATTATTTCTCTTTTGTATTGGTTTTGATTGTATGGTTTCGCTATAACCGGTTGCATACAACTAAATAAACCCGTAATAGTTGTATGCAACCGATTTTCTCACATGTAATTAATCGTATCACGATTAATGGATACATAGTTGTATACAATCGAGGGTTGTAAAAATAAAGAAAAAATGGGTCACGAATTAAAAAAAGGAAAATGGGAAATAAAAAATTGGGGGAGCATGTGGGCTGCGTGCAACAATGTAAAGTGTACCGTTATATGGGGGAGGCACTTGGAGCAGTCAGCCATATGCATTAGCTCTCTTTTTCTTTTGGGTTGGTGAATGGGAATGGTTGAAATACTCTTTCTTTTTTGGGTTCTTTTAGTCTTTGCCTTCTGTCCACTTTTAGGTTGGAGACGACTTTACATCCATGGAATTGGAATTTGATTCCATTTCCACATATGAATGGGCGTTCTCTGTTGTCACAGTCTAAAAGCTCCTCAAAATGGCCACGGGAGGACCAAAATGTTGTCCTCAGTTGAACATGATGTGTCCCATAGCCTCTTTTTATTTTATTTTTAGGATGAGTATTATAAAATAACATACCTTAATTTCTGCATTCTCAGTTGTTTTTTCTACTGATTTTATATATTATTTTTGTCTGATTCAAATAAACTATCTTCCTTTATTTATTTTGTTTTATAGTTTTCGAGAAGTTTAAACAGCTTTTTATGGTCAAAAGTAACATCATTAAGTTATTAACCCCCCGCAGGCCAAGGGACTTGTCTTTAAAATTATATGACTTGCACGTTTTTAAGGGAAGAGGTCTGAGTCAAACCAGATTAGGTTAAGATCTAGGACTCCTAAGATCTATTTAGCCTTTTGATCGCTCCCGCTATGTGGATTCAAATAGTTTGCGTGATGATGCCAAGAAAAGAATTCATTTTAGTTTTTTCAATTCAGATCAAGGAATTAAAAAATGATTCCTAATTGACAAGATTCAGTGAATAGTTTAAGTTGACAAATGCGAAAGCTTTATCTAGAATTCTTGTTTTGCATCTGATGGTAACGCATCGGAACCCTATCCTTGTTGCTCAAGAGCCAAGTGAAAATAGAGATAAATTTTATCGATAAAACAGTATGATATGTTATGTTATCATTGCCGACTTACTTTGGTGACATAAGAAGATATTCAAAATTTGAACTCTCATACCCAAGAGTTTTAGTACAATGATTTGTTGAATCACTGGTAGGAGCCTAGAGGGTTGACAGCTGAAACAGGATCGAAATTCATGCAGAAAACAGCAGAAGAAAACGACAACGTATGAAGTCCCGGTAGGTGGATATAGCTTGTACATATTCCAGGAGCATATTTCCCGTGATTATTGTCTTTGACCTTAATAAAAACACATCAACTTCAAATCCTCAACACACCCAACAGCCATTTTGATTACAACTTATGATGTTGACACACCCAACCCAGCCTGCATCAGATTGAAGACACAAGGACCCCAAAAAAATCAATGACGACGAAAATGGGGGAGGCCCATTAAACTTTGGTTTAAACTTTAAAATTTTAATTAAGTTCATGATGAGATGTTACATACAGTTTTAATTAACATTTGTCACACCTAACCTAATTAATACTGCTTAGCCCAATACATGTAGTTGAGGAAATTGAGGGTGTTGAGAATGCTGAGAAGGGTGTAAAAAAGATCCAAACGTGAGTGATTTATGTCATTTCCTCCAAGCCATTCTCTTCCAAATCTTCCACTGGCTGAATTTACTATGGACACCAGCACAGAGCTCAAAAAGTAGCCCATGGAAGTTGAGCACCATGACAAGGCAGTGCACGTGCTTTTCATGCTATCAGGTGCCTCTGAGTAAAAGAACTCAAGCATGCCTCCAAGTGTGAGCATGTCTGAGACTCCAAGCAACATGAACTGCCAGGCAAGCCAGAACACAGACAATGTGGCATTGTCCAGAGCCGCCTCGCGCCTCTTAGCTTCGACTAGGGCAGCTACAGCCATCGATCCTGATGCAAGAGCTAGCCCCAGGCCTATCCTCCAAAGTGGTTGGAAAATGTGGATTTTTTCTGATTTCTTGGAACTTAAAATTCGTCGGAATTTTTCGTATAAGGGAATAGAAGCAAGCATAATGGAGAGGGGGAGCACACTTAGTGACTGAGTTGGGATTTCAAAATTGTGTAGTTTTCGGTTCATTAGGACCCCTTGCACCACTGAGTATGTCTGAAGTTGTGCTAGGCAACAGTTCATCATGATTGTGCTTGCAAAGATTGGTAGATGGCCAAGAAAAGTTCTTGTTTCGTCAACTTGAGCTTCACTAATTGTGTTGTCAATCAATGCCTTGTCTAGGAACCTGAGAAATTATAGGCATTATTAGACCAAAAGTACATGAAAATGGTATACAGAGTTTAATTTTTCTTCCCTCTCAAAATTTGAGTGGTCTCATATGGTAGGCCAGGACTTGTTTATGCATGTCCAAAAGCGTGACACTATAATTTAATCCCACTCAAACTTTAAACACTCATAGTAGGTCTATTTGCCATACACTAATAACCTAAATAATTAGGGACTAATTGAGAGAGGAAAAGGACTTACTTGAACTTGTTATGGGATTTTCCATCAACTCTGTTTGGATTGATTGCAGATACTGCATACTGGTTTTCTACTCTCTCTTCTGGTGAGGCTTTACAGTTTCGAGCTGCAGAAGCTAGTACCTTTGACACCACCAAAAAGAAATAAATTAAAATCCAAACAGAACAGTCTAGTTGATATATATATATATATTTTTTCAATTGCATTTTGTCTAAGTATAGTTTTACCTTAATGATTCTTGTCAATGCACTTCCACCAGGAAGTTTGTGTCTATAAAATGGGCTCCCACTGATGAAAATTGAAAGTGCCAAACTCAAGACTATGGCTGTGATAGTAAAACTCCAGTTCCAGCCTTTGTTCTCTTCCACCCAAACCATAACAGTGCAGCTTATGAGGCCCCCAAGGCAGAGGGAAAAGAAAAACCAATTGAAGAAGGCCGAGATGAGCCTCTGGTTGCCGTGATCAAGCTGATCAGCACCATGGGCAGGCAAGGAGGCATTGATTCCACCTACACCAGCAGCCATGCTATAAAGGCCAGTGTACAAAATGGCTGCTTCAGACTGAGAAGGCTTTTCATTCAACGCCGGTCGAAATTGCGGATTTTGAGCTTGGATTGTCAGCAAGATTAGCCCCTAGAATTGGTACCAAAAAGTTTGTTCAATTTCATGTCACATACTGATATGAAGATAGGTCTTATTTGTTGAGAGTTAAGCTGCATACTAGTTTTGAATCAAGCTGCAGATGTTAATCCTGCAGATTAATAGTGAAGAGAATGAAGAAATCAAAGGAGCTGAAGAACTTTCCTTTCTTGGTAATAGCTGTTATCCAACGGCTAGTTTTCTTACTATTTTAGGAAACTCTACAGCTGTAATTCTTAGCTGTTTTAGTCCTTCCTGCTGTAACAATTTCTAGCCTAGGTGTAAGAATCATAGCCTCCAATGACCTTGAATGGCTGGAGATGAGTCCTTGTGTCCTAGTTTTTAGGATCTGTTTTTTTGGCAGCTTGTGTCATGCATATAGTGTGATTTTGGCTCTGATGCAATACAACGGAAAAGACTGAAAACATTCTCATTCTCTCTGTGTGTTTTTTCTCTCCTCTGCATACGTTGCCTACACTGGTTTTGGTTTTCTGTAAAGCAGTCACTAAAACCAGCAAGCTAAATACCAAATTCTAACATTATTAACCCAAAAACAATATATATAGACCATACCAGCAACTCAATTGTACAGAAGACGATAAAGGTTGTGAATCTTGTGAAGATTGAGTCAGCAATGAAGCCTCCCAGGATGGAGAGCAAGAAAGAAGTCCCCATGAAATTGGTCACCATATTTGCTGATGTAGCATGTGGATAATGCATTGACTTATTGAAGTAAGTGATAAAGTTAATGGCATTGGCCAAGAAGACCATGTTGGTAAACACCTCAACAACTGCACACAAAAAATATATTATGACCAAATCACCTCATAATAGAACATTCTCTCTCTTGATTATCAAATTTTTTCTGCATCCCTGATTTAGTTTGTAAAATATGAACTACAAAAAGAAAAGAAAAGTGTAAGATATGCTGGTATATATGCAGAACCTGGGTTAAAGGGTTTGAATTTGAGTGAGATAAAGTCATGAACTTAAAATCTTATGCGAAAATCTCGAGACAACCCAATATATTACTTCCTGCTTCCCTCCCTAGCGATTGGAAAAAAAAAAAAAAAAGGGTTAAGATCCCTGCACTTGCAACTTACCACATGCAAAGGCAGCAGCTGTAATTCCACCATGCTTTCCAGGATTTGCCTTTCTTCCTTTCCAGTCAACAAATTGATCATCACTTTCTTTCTGGTTGAAAACATTTTGATCTCTCTCTATACTCATCTCTAAACAACCCAGTTGCAAGTGAAAAATCCTGCAGCTGATGATGAACAAAACCAAGAAGGCAGAAAATTAAAGTGAAGAACAAAAAGTTTCTGCAAAAGAAGAAGTAGAGTAGAAAACATATAATTTGGGTTGTGTTAGGTGATGTGGGTATTTCCCTATGATCTGTACCACAAATTACATGAGATGGTGTGGGCTGATGAACTTACCAAAAATGATCAACCCTAAGGTTTGAAGAAATGAACCAAAAGAAGAAAAGTTGGGGAAAGGTGATATGCTTGCTGCTGATCAGTTGTGAAAGGTAAAATGAGAAGGAATATATAAGAAGAAGAAAACTGAGGCTAGAAACAACTTTTAATTACTATGTAGGGATATGGCTAAAGGCTATGCAGACACTTGTGTCCAAACCCTGCATGTATAATGTCACAATGCATGCTAATTAATTACAATTTTGTCAAAGCAGTTGGAGAGTGAAACAGATTCCAGAGATCCTGCATTGAATGCCTGCCCATTGGTTTGTATGACACCTTTGAATTTCAAGGGGGGAATTAGGAAAGAGACCATTTGTAGGAGACTAGAATGCATAATTTTCAGGGAAATGCCTTGTGCTTTGGTTACTTTTTTTCACCTTTGACACACAGGGTCATTTGAATGAGTGATTGTACAATATTATAGTATTATGGTTATGTGGTATATCTTGTATATGTGTTATAATATAAGTGGACATTTATTGATACTATTCTCTAAAAGGAAGGAAAATAAATCATGTCGTCTACCCATATCGTAACATGTATACAAGATATACCACGTGACCATACGCTCAAAAGTGATATTCTTAACGCCTTTACTACCGAAATGTTGTGCAAAGGGAAAGGCTCCTTTCTAAGCAAGAAAAAGCTTACACGAAATTGGCCTTTTTATCTCTTTTATTTAAGTCAGAAAAGGCGGAAATATATTCTCACTCTATCCATCTCTCTCATCACGTACATAACTAAGTTTTCTCTCAGATGGGCTTTAAATGAGACAACAAAACCCAACAAGCAAAACCACCACACTCCATCCAAGGAAGCCCAGGCCACAAGCAATCAAACCAAGGCAGCCAATATTTTCTGTTTCAACAGATTCAAATTGTTTAAATCAAGTAACTTGGACTTTGCTCAATTGGGCCTGGATTGGAGGCGATGATCCAACAGATTGGGCTCGAGACTCCCTCACGGCCCAAAACAAATGTAATCTTACGGTGTCGTCGACCACAGCAGATTGCAGCTATTTCGTATATATTCGCTCACTTAAAACCCTAGGTCCTCTGTGCCTCTCCCTCCCTCAACTCCTCAGCAGCGCCATACTGCTCTTCTTTTCAATCAGGTTCGAAACCCTAATCTCTGATCCTTCTCTGTTTTCAAAACACCATGCTTTTTGGCCTAATATTTACAGGAACTGCTATTTATATTATTGTTTGGGTATAATTTTAGTAAATTCATGATTTTGTTGTGATTTGAGTGACAGAAACAATGGCTGTCCCTTTGCTGAAGAAGCAAATTGTGAAGAAGCGTACCAAGCACTTCAAGAGGCCCCAAAGTGACAGGAAGATATGCGTCAAGGTATGAATCTCTGGGTCATTTCATTTCTGTTCCTTTTTTTAAAAGTAATTGAATCGTACGGATTGTTTGAAATTTCAATTTTAGTGTAAGAAGTATTATCAATTGTTCTGCTTGATATAACTTATAATGGGGTCTTTCAGTATGATTTACAATGTCTTAAGCAATTAGGTTTTGGGATAATTTAATTTTACCAATGCTTGCATATTTTGTGGTATTTGCAAGGCAATGAAGATAATTTTAGTTAACAGATTTGTATTTGCTTCAAATATAGTAGTAGCAAGTGTATTCTTCACAGACGTGGAGAGTTGCGTATGTTTATTGGCGTTACACGAAGTCGGATTTATCCATCATTTTTTTATTTGTCTGTTTGGCTAAGAGTGTGATTAGAATATGAGAACGATTTAAAAAATGACTTGCAGCGAGGTGATGAATCTCATTGTTCATCATTTTGTTGCTTAGCAAGGAGATTCTTGCTCTGGTTCTATATTTGGAATGGTGTATATGTTTATGGGAGTTACGAAAAGTCGGATTTATCCATTGTTTTGTTTTGATCTATTTGGCTAAGAGTGTAATTAGAATATGATAACGATTTAAAAAATGACTTCTGGTGAGGCGATGAATCTCATTGTGCATCATTTTCTTGCTTGGCAATGAGATTGTTGCTCTGGTTCTATATTTTGGATAGATAATTTGGCCTGCTAGAGTTCAAGTCTGGATAGTAGATGCTTGCTGGGTGACCAAGTGGTGTAATTTCTTATCTTATTTGATGATGAATGTTGCTTGTTTTGTTTGGACGCGTTGAAGTATCTCAGAGATCCTGACTTCTTTGTGCTTCCATGCATCCTGGTTGGATCTTATTTATGGCAGGAAAGCTGGAGAAGGCCCAAGGGTATTGATTCACGTGTCAGGCGAAAGTTTAAGGGATGTGCCTTGATGCCCAACATTGGCTATGGTTCAGACAAGAAGACTCGCCACTTTCTCCCTAATAAGTTCAAGAAATTCGTTGTGCACAATGTCAAAGAGGTTGAAATCCTAATGATGCACAACAGGTATGCAACAGTTCCTTTAAAATATTTTTCACAATCTTCAGAGAAGTCTTTTATGCTTTAGAGTTTTCTTACCTCTTGTTTCTCTAATGTAACTACAGGACTTACTGTGCTGAGATTGCACACAATATTTCCACCAAGAAGAGAAAGGAGATCGTCGAGCGTGCAGCGCAGTTGGATGTTGTTGTTACCAACAAACTTGCCAGGCTGCGCAGCCAGGAGGACGAGTGAGCTTTGGAGCTGTTATGGTTTATTTTGCTTCGTGTGTTTCCTACTATGTTAGTTTTCAGCATTTTGGAAGAAATCTTATGCAGGATTTTGATTTTGTTTTCAATTCTATACTGTTGGATCTAGACTATGTTACTAATCTAGCTATGTTGAATGACATGAAGTTCCGTCCACTCGTGTTTGGTTTTACCATATTTCTTTGCCCCTTCCGACCATATTTCCTATTTCATTCTGTAGGAATCTTGTTCAGCCTAGAAATAACTAAAATTTACATTCATAACTTGTGATTTGAGTTTCATATGCGACGCAGAGAAAGAGAATACTTGACTGGAGAATACTTTACAATGAGATTTTCATTTCGAATGTGTTGAATTGAACGTCCACGTTTTTCTTTGTTTCGCTTTTTCATTTGCTTTTATATAATTCCCTTTGTCACTGTTTTTATATCAACATTTGGCCCAACTAGATCCAAAGTGCAATTAGTATTTCTGTTTTCCTTTTTCAATAGGGCAGTCCCAAGCCATGACATACATTTGTGAATTTAAACAAGTTCAACTCATTGAACAATGAGAGTCAAACGCATAACAATTCTTGAATAGCGAAGTAGGAAAATCACTAGAAGAAATTTCTATAAAAGTCTGATCAATCACTGCTACAAGATGGAGCCTATGAAAAAGATTTCCAGGAAACTACGTGCAGATCCTAATCTTGCATACCCTAAATGAAGGGCCTGCCTCACAGTATGCCTTCTGATTTCTTAGGGCATACCATCATATTAAGCTTAAAAGACAATGAAGTTAAAAATCTTGTTTAATTCGTGGCATAGCAGGACAGATTTTGTAGTTTCAAATATTACAAACGGAGAAAAGAAACTAGCCCGACCTCCAGCAAAGGCCAAGTATAACTAAAAACACAAAAACAGCATTACATTGATTTCACAAATCGATTCCATCTGATGATCATTCCTTAACCAAGGGAAGACAAGGATTAGAAGGAATTTGTCTGAATCTTAGAATATAAAACAGTAAAGAGCAAAAAGTTCCTAATCATCGTCGGAAGAAATCTTTCGCTTCTTCCACATGTGGGCAGCTTCCAATATCTTGAGGTTTTGGGTATGTGCTTCTTCTGGGAAGCTGTAATCAACGTATTCCTCATATCCAGCAGGGCCATCTTCGGTTACTATTGCCCTCCGCTTCTTAAGTTTCTTTGGAAGCTTAGACTGGACTAAGCTAGCATCACCGAGATCTCCAAAGCTAGCCTCCACATTCAGCATTTCTTCAAGCAAGAGACATCGTTCTTCCTTTGTTTGGGGATGGGGAAAATTCACCCAACCCGGGTACCTTCCAGAAATACGAGCGGCCGTGCTATAGTCTATTGTGGCCAGAATGGCTCGGGAATTGGAGAATAAGCGGCCGGGTATTGAATTGCTAATATGCGGCCGGGCTACATGGCTAGGAGAATGGGCAAGGTTGCATGGCTGAAAGAATGGGCCGGGCTACGTTCAAGCTTGGCTGGAGAGTGGGCCTGGTTTTGGAAGAGTCTCGATCGGGCTTTCAATCGCAGAGTTGGGCAAAGAAATGCGGCTGGGCATGGCCGAAGGAGTTGGGGCCAGATCAAGTTGGGCAACTTCTAAAAATGCAAGCGGCCTTATTTAATATGAAGAATTCCTAGCGGCCGAAGAATATCTAGGTGGCCGAGAATTCCTAACTGCTCAATTCTTAGTGGCCGAAGAATTCCTAGCGGTCGAAGAATATCTAGGCGGCCGAAATACGGCCAATGTGTTTTCTTCAAAGGCCATGGTGCCTTCTCAAAAATATGATCGGGCGTATCCTTGGAAAAGTAGCCGGGCGTATCCTTACAAAAGTGGCCGAATGCTTCCTTCTCAAAAAGTTGGGCTAGGCACTCCTTAAATACCTTGGTTGGCTACTTCTCTTAAGAAAAGCTGGGCCAGGGCGAATTTTCTCCTTGCTCACCTTGGTGCCTTTCTCTCAACACTTGGGCAAGCAAAGTCGGGCCAATGGAGTTAAAGTTCGGCGGGAGGTATTTCTGTCGAGGGAGTTGAAGTTTGGTGGGAGGTATGTTCACCGAGTTTCCAATATTCGAATATTTGAAAACTCAAATATAGTCCAATGTAGGGCCAAGCCCAATATCCAAATATTTGGAGTTCCCATACCACCCACCTTGGTGGATGGTTAGCCAACTTTAGAATTCCAAAAACTCAAGGGGCATGAGGTTCTACCAGATGTCAAAATGAAATCTCAGAGGTCAAGGCCCAAGCCACGAATTCACGCCCAAGATTTCCGGAGGTCAATGTGCATGTGACGGAGGCCTCATAAGGAAAAAAATCAAGGAGATTGATGATAGTTCAACATATTCCAAAACATGAGAGAATCAAGCAATCAG